CACATTGAGAGTTCACAATTCACCTCGCTGTAAACTCCCATCATTCGGGTTCCCCATACTCAGTTCTGTTTCCGCTTCCATCGCAGGAATACGTCAACAATTGAGATCTCTAATTTTGTGTAACTTTAGTCAAGCTTTCTAACCTTGGTCGTTTGTTCATGCTGCTTGACCGCTCACTTCAGCTCTAAAGTTTTGTCATATTTGTAGATAGTAATAACAATAATCATTTCTAATAATTATTTATTTTATAGTCACAATTTATCGACATTCCGTTGATTTGATTTGAATTTGGGATTGCGTGTGTATGTGTTGCTACAGTTTAACACATTCCACAGATCATGACATTCATAGATTGCTCATTCTTAAGTTGTGATGCATATTAGTGCGTATGTGTAATTTGTTGAATTATCGAGGTTTCTCGACTATGTCAAGGTGTAAGTGGGCGTCTATGTTACCATATCCAGCTACAGTACCTATTACTTGGGATGACCGCTGTCATCAGCATACGATTTTCAGCGTGATGTAAAAAAGAAACGTCGAAGTGCGCACAGAAGCCCAGCACCTAGGGAGTAATTAGAAACTGCAAAAATTGTGCATCAACACACAATGATGAGTCTTTCAACGTGCTTTATCAGCAAGATGTCAATCATTATATTTTGTTTGATTTTAAAATTTTAGTAGATTTTGCATATTCATTTCATCTTCACTCAAGCAGGTCGCTCTAGTCATCTTGTTTTTGTTCTTTCCTCTTTCCTTATTTTTTGTACGCATACTTCACGACTTTTTCATGTACTGCTCTTGATGGAACATCACAGTTTCTTGTTGCAACATTGTCGTTAACTTATTGGTTTACTTTACTGATTTTGCCCTTTCTTTCATATTGGTTATAGTTTTATAAACTTGAAGAATTTATATGTTACTAAATTGGGTGTACGATCTGATGATAGTATTGTAAAAGATCATTTACAATAAATTATATTATTGCATTGAATTGAGCCCTATCATGGTGCCTGAGATTAGCAGCTTTGCTCCTTATCAAATTCTCTCACTTCCATATTTTGTTCAGAATGCATGACGAGAAGCTAATAAAGGCATCATTTGTAATTCTGTTCATATTGTCTCAATGAATAAAGTTGGTTTTTTATTGTAATGATATGAGGTAACACAATTCCGTGAGTCTATCGTCAGGCAATTACGACTGACAAGACACAGCAAAGAAACAAATGAAAATAAAAATAATCGAATCATCCTAAGTATTCATAGTAGGCAGTAAGCATCGAATATCGCATATAGACAACAATTTGGGTGGTCGTTATATGTACAGTCGGATGCACAATGCAGGGCTGCTAGTGCATGATGTGCATCCTTGCATCCGACAGGATCTGAGCAAATCTTTTCAAGAGTTGAGTGCTTAGAATTTCCATGCCGGTCGTTTTTCGGCTGGTTCCTTACGATACCGGCTAAACAATGGGCGAGATGGTGAACCTCGACGTTCAAGTCGTTCCGAATCGCCGGGTGCGAGAAGATTCCTGCAAGTTGTAATGCATTAAGAAGATTTGTGGAGGCATTGCAGGAAATTCGCTAGTAATTGGAAATTTCTTTCTGATTAAAGATTTTTGGCTTCTGATTATTTAACAAGTCCATACCTAACTTTAAATTGAGAGCATTATGATTTAGTATCAATAGTGTCAGAATTGAGCAAATCTTTTCAAGAGCTGAGTGCTAAAAATCTCCATGTCTACGGTGTTAACTATAGCAATTATTTAAGGTCAGCTAGAAGAAGCACAGCTCAAAGAAGGGCTCACAAAAGGATATTACATAGTGCGTCATATGGAAATACGATGTAGACGGAGAAAGTCGAAAACTCAAAATTCACTACACTTGGCATATTGAACTGTCACAATAACTCTTGAACTTTTTTTTTGGCAGAGAATGGCGAATATTTGATCACAATATTCGGTTCATCAGCAAAAATTCTATTAAGGGATTTGTTTGCCGGGCCCCCCACTGTCTTGAACAAAAATAGTGATTCTTCATCGGCGATTTCTATCAATCGTTTTTCCAAAAATATTTCACATCGAATTATATGGAGAAGCCTTTGGTGGTGATATCAAGCGACGTGTTTCTACTAAGTACTATGAGAATCCAAGTTTTCCAAAATTTGTTGAAATCGCAGGCTAGCTTATAAAGTAGCTTTGCTCATTGTCGTGTTGGAGAATCTTGGTAAGTTGAGCAGCAAAAGGATTGCTAAGGAATGCAATAGAATTGAGGGAAGACTTATGCCTTGATAGACCATGATATGAGGATGGTGGAGCTTAACAACTTCAGGAGACTATAGCGATTGCTTTTGTAGGGATACTTTCCAATTAGAGATTTGGTTGCCTTTTATTTCATTACTTTCAAGGACAGAACATTTTCTGCTCTCTTCTAATAACACACATTAACGCATTGACTTGATAAGAAAATTTTTGACGAAGCATCGTTTTTATGAAGCGTTGCACTTACCTGCTTGACGACGATGGAGTTGTTTCCAGGTTATCAACAAGTGATCGCGTCTTTACTGGACTTCGATCGCGGAGACGTGCTAGTAGTGATGGCGATTTTGAGCGCATAGGGGATCGCTCTTTGATGAGTCTTCAAGTAAAGGTAAGTTATGATGTAATTATGCCCACTTGACCCAACTCACTTACTCTCGAGCAGCTTCCTTAGCAGCTTTTTCTGCTTTCCTTTCCGCTTCTTTTTTCTTACTTCTTTCGTTTGCTTCATCACGTTTGTCTTTCATTTGGCTAACGAAATTTTGAAACACGCCACCACCCGTAATGCTTTGCTAAAATGTCATTTTAAGAACATTATTGGAACTCATCTCATGAAATCTTACGGATCTATCCTTCTTCTTAATCGATATGTCTTCTCCGGATTTGTCCGGTATTTGTTCATGCAACTTTTCTATGAGATCGTTTTTCATCTGAAAAGGATTGATGAATTTCGCTGAAGAATTACATATCTGGGGTTAACCTCTAAAGCGTGTTCTAACTCAGCGATCCTTGTTTTCAGCTCCTTTTCCCTAGCTAAGTCTACGATCGGTACAGGAGACGGAGATTTAACAGGATCGGTTTGTATTTCCATGCAAGATGTTTCTGTTCTAGATAGAGGAATGCATTTTTCTGCAAAAATTACAATTTCTGTATCTTGGCATACTTCTCGTCGTCCTCATCCTCCTCCTCTTCCTCTTCCTCTTCCTCCTCTTCTTCCGTTCTAGCAACGAGCGTGGTCATCTCCTCCTGCAGCTTTTGCATCTGGATATCTTGCTGGCTTATGCTAGCCTTTAACTTCTCTTCTAGTGAATTGATCAGTGCCTGCTGTTCTTCGAGTTGTTGTTCTCTAGTCATGAGCAGGGCTTTCTTCTCCTATACGAATGTATTTAACAAGTTATAGAAGGTGTTTTCCTCAGAACTGCTACTCTATGCGAGTAATTATAGTCCATACAGAACTTACATTGATTTCAACTTCCATTGAATTCAAAGTTTCATCTTTTCTTTGTACTTCCTCTCTCATTTTCCCAACAAGATTGTTTGATTCCTTCACTGATCTCTGATTATTCAAGACTTCCTCCTGTAGTTGTTGCATTTGTTGCGCCATCTCTTGTTCTCGCTGCTGGAAAACATTCACAATTCAAAACTTGTAGAGTGTTTTGTTATAGAAACTTACCTTCATCTGGTTGACAATCTTCTCGTGCTCTTTGGTCATATGTTTTATCTTCTCCTCAGCCTCTGCAGTGGAGCTTTCTAATCTGAAATTTGCGGAAAAGCAATTATCAAAGTTCCCTCTATTGACTGCTGTTGATATCATTATCTTGTTGTAGGAGTTTAAAATTTCTAAGAGTTTTCTGTATGTGCATACACAATATATAATGGAACATTGTTGGACTGCATACTTCACTTCGGAACGGTCTCCAATTTGCTGTAGCTCAACGTTTCTTTTATCCAGTTCTTCTTTGATTCCGCCCATTTGATCGAGAAGCTCTTTTACCCTGCGTCAATAAACAATATTTGATTTTTAACACTTAAGAGGACG